AGAAGTAGACAAAGACTTAATTGTTTACAGTGCTCTGATGCATGACTGCAATGTTTATATGATTTTGCAATAAACTTGCAACTTGTAAAAGTAATTTTACCTATTTACAAAGTGGTTTTTTTCTGACTTCTCATCTAAATTAGTAAATATGTTTGAAAATCATGTATTTCTTGGATGCTAATAATCGAATCGAAATTAATCGAATCGGAAGTCACAAATCAAGATTCGAATCGAATCGAGATATACCCGAATCGTTGCATCCCTACACCTTATCCATATTGATATGAAATATTTGAAATTTGAATATTTCTATAGTGCATAACTCCATAACCTACAACCTATAGGGACATGTCAAATACTACCAGGTACACATTTATATATACAATGGAAGATATTATATATAATAAATGGGCATCACAGTATATATATATATATTGCTGTACACTTAATTAGCATGTGACATGTCCCTGTAACCAACATCTAATTATAGGCAAGTAGAGGGATTATTATTGGAAGCTAATATCAACACATCCAACTAATACAGTACTTTAAAACAAGAGCCCCATGGGCCTAACAGGTCACGTGAGTTGTAATGCAATTGTTATTTGTTGTTGTGATATGTTGGGACCCAAGGGGTTGTGAAATTCCCATTTTGATTAATCACATCAGGATATTTCCATCTATGAGGAGGTTTTCATCATATCTGGGTCTGAAGTAGACAATTATTGTTTTAGCTATTTTGACCCCTTTTGGCTCCGCCCCTCATGCCCTTAGCGTGCACATGATGACAACTCCAACCAAGTATGAATTTGTTACTACTGAAAATGGATAAAATGTATCTTGAAAAATATCATTTCCATAAACTATAGCAAAATGTATCGCCTCCACAGGAGTAAATGGGCGACAATTGATAAAAAAAAAACTTAAACATCAGAGATACACCTCATATACATAGAGGTTACACAACGAGTGGTTGTTGAATATGGTATTTATTTCACTCGAGTAAGTTAATTTTTAAAAGTTACAAAAGACACGAGCTTTAGCGAGTGCCTTTCTGTAACTTTTGAAAATTATCTAACGAGAGTGAAATAAATACCATACTCAACAATCACGAGTCGTGTGATCTGTTTCTACCACAACCTCAGTCGGAAACAGCTGTAAAAAGTCACTCATTAATATTCAAAAATGCCTTTTTGTTTTACAAATTTAATCATTTTCAAAATTAATGTTTCGGCAATAACTTTGTAAAAAAGTAAATATATGAAAGACTTTAAATATTGAGAGTATGCAATATTGCATTAAGTAATATAAATTAACCACGGACTATATGCGCGTAAGCATATCGTACGAAGTCTGCCTCCCGCCAAGTGATGAAGACGAGCTAATCGCTATAAATGTCCAAAACCATAGGCCTGGGAAGTTTCTTTGTGAGGTTCTATGGTTGACGTTTATAGTGAGAGATCTTGTTTTAATCTTGAATGTGGGTGTCATACAAAGTATGTCAGATTTCTTTGAAACATCTTCACCAAGTCCATGATCTGTCCTTACACTATTCTTGTTACTGCTATTTCTTGAGAAGTTCAGGGGGATATTTCCCAAACTGTATGCGTCTGTTCCCCTTGGTCCCTAGTTGTCCATAGTCGATTTTGGGACTGATTGAAAAAACAAAATGGCCGACAGACGGCCATCTTGGAAATAAACATTCCTAAGAAATTACTCTGTTGGTATTTCCAATATGTTATTTGTGGTGTCTTCTTTGTCCCTAGTTATACATGTTAAGTTTTATGACTGTTCAGATGAACAAAAGTACAGTAAAATTTGTCAGCACATTATGTCCTTTAAATACGAGGAAAAGGGGAAAGAAGAGAAAAGATCGATCTTTCATGGAGCCAGTAAAGCTTTTTCAGTGGTAGGCGCAAATGTCGGTCTGGGATCTCTTGTACATCCTATTTTTTCGAAACTTCTCTGATGTATCCAGCACAAAATGAAGTTGTCCACATAGCTGATGTTTTTAATAGGCATATGTTAATGGCAGTGGTGTGCATATGTCTGAACATAGAACATTGTCCATAACAACTCCTATAATTCTCAACGAAACATTTAGATTGATGTACTTAGTCAGCACATAATGAAGCACCTGGGTTTACTTTTTCGATCCGTTTTATTGCATGGCCTGCATGTGTTCTATTTATCTGCTTATTTTAATGGGTAATGCCTCTTTAAACAAGTACTGGCAGAAGGGTTGGGTTTGATGATGGGCGAGGGGTATTAGCCTTCTCATGCCATCCTTGCAACAGTTCTAGTGTAAACGTATTGTCTATAACTTCATTTGGTTACGCTCCAAATGCCAGGAAGTTAGGAAAAATTCACAGTCATAAACAATACCGTTACTGATTTTTGTCTATCCATTGACAGAGCTGACCTATTGAATGATACTGATGGTATTGAGGAACTCCTTCTGACCTCACAAATTACATTGACACTCCCATCAGACACTTCAAAACACGTCATCAAAATGGAACTGACCATGAAGTTGTATGTAATTTATGTTCAGTATAAAAAGATGGAAAGCTTCCAAATGGCAAATTACAATACACAAACTCTCTTCATTGTTGAATCAATATATCAGATATTTATAGGACAGCTGTTTTCTTTTTAGCAAGTGACGTTACTCAAATAAACAAAACAAAAATCCAACAGCTCGTTCGTAATAGGAAAGAAAGAAGTGGAAAGAAGAGGTGCCCCAGCTGGGATCAAACCCACAACCCCAGGTTCTGGAGGCCAACCCTCTACCACTGAGCTAAAGGGACTTGTCCTGTCACCTGACTGACAGAACCACTTTTTGTACATAGTACATATACCACCCAGATCTTTCACACTACTTTTGCATTAAATCAGGGCAATGGGCGTCTTTACATAACTCAGGTGACCGTTAAGGCCAATGGGCATCTTGTTACATAACTCAGGTGACCGTTAAGGCCAATGGGCCTCTGGTTACATAACTCAGATGAACGTTAAGGCCAATGGGCCTCTGGTTACATAACTCAGGTGACCGTTAAGGCCAATGGGCATCTTGTTACATAACTCAGGTGACAGTTAAGGCCAATAGGCATATTGTTACATAACGCAGGTGACCGTTAAGGCCAATGGGCATCTGGTTACATAACTCAGGTGACCGTTAAGGCCAATGGGCATCTTGTTACATAACTCAGGTGACCGTTAAGGCCAATGGGCATCTTGTTACATAACTCAGGTGACCGTTAATGCCAATGGGCATCTGGTTACATAACTCAGGTGACCGTTAAGGCCAATGGGCATCTTGTTACATAACTCAGGTGACCGTTAAGGCCAATGGGCCTCTGGTTACATAACTCAGGTGACAGTTGAGGCCAATGGGCATCTTGTTACATAACTCAGATGACCGTTAATGCCCATGGGCATCTGGTTACATAACTCAGGTGACCGTTAATGCCCATGGGCATCTTGTTACATAACTCAGGTGACCGTTAAGGCCAATGGGCATCTTGTTACATAACTCAGATGACCGTTAATGCCCATGGGCATCTGGTTACATAACTCAGGTGCCCGTTAAGGCCAATGGGCATCTTGTTACATAACTCAGGTGACCGTTTAGGCCAATGGACCCCTGGTTACATAACTCAGGTGACCGTATAGGCCAATGGGCATCTTGTTACATAACTCAGGTGACCGTTAAGGCCAATTGGCCTTTTGGTACATAACTCAGGTGACCGTTAAGGCCAATGGGCATCTTGTTACATATCTCAGGTGACCGTTCAGGGCAATGGGCGTCTTTACATAACTCAGGTGACCGTTAAGGCCAATGGACATCTTGGTACATATCTCAGGTGACCGTTAAGGGCAATTGGCCTTTTGGTACATAACTCAGGGGACCGGTAAGGACAATTGGCCTTTTGGTACATAACTCAGGGGACCGGTAAGGACAATTGGCCTTTTGGTACATAACTAAGGTGACCGTTAAGGCCAATTGGCATTTTGGTACATAACTCAGGTGACCGTTAAGGCCAATTGGCCTTTTGGTACATAACTCAGGTGACCGTTAAGGCCAATGGGCATCTTGTTACATAACTCAGGTGACCGTTCAGGCCAATGGGCATCTTGTTACATTTCGAAGATGCATCATAATTGTCGTTTTACACAATAAATGCCACAAATATTGATTATGTGATTATAAGGATCTTACACTCGTTTCAATTCCTTTTGAAATGTATGAAACTCGTCTCGATTTATTTTTATTTTTAACTCGCCAGAGGCTCGCTTAATTGAAAAATTCTTAGTCTCGTTTCATAAATTTCATATGAAATGGAAACTCATGTAAGATCCTATACGTATCGAGCAGATCTGTTATAGGATACCATGGAATTTCCTCTTGAGCTTCGTGAAAATAGAGATAATCTAATGTACAGTAAAATCTTGTTATATTTCCGCCGTTTGTCCTATCATATTGAAGCACGACATCGAGGTAACGTATGTAGAAATCCTTAAGAAAAAAGAAAAAAGGACTTTCAAATACGTTGGCGGTAAGTGAGGTAACAATGACACTAATGTCACTATATCAAGCTTTTACTGTACTTATGAAATACACTGATGTCACTATATCAAGCTTTTACTGTACTTATGAAATACACTAATGTCGTACAGCATATATATTTAACGGTCGAACGTTTCATATCTTCAGAGTACATTATATACAGTTCTGTGATCGCACAACGCAGTATCTAATTATTGTGTACCTTTCAAATATGTCATTCTACTACCGAACACTTCAATCCGCACTTTATCAGTCTAAGAAAATGTAAGTTTCATAGCTTTAGCGATGCATTTGTGGAAGCCGATTACTTAATTTTGTCCGATCTGTGTAGATGCTGACCGTAAACAAATATGTTGTTGATTTTTGGAGCCAACCTTTATCAATGAATTGCCTACATTTGTTTTAGTAACTGTGTCTTATTGTTCAACAGGTAGTAACACAGCTGCTGCAGTACCTAGTACTGCTGGTCAGCCTTATATTCTGCGGTCACCTCGGCAAGGAGACGCTGGACGGCGTGGCACTGGCTTCCACGGTAAGTAGCCCGCAGTCGACAAGCTTCTTAATCTAAGATAGGCAGACGATGCATATATTCGACATTATTTTGAAATGCTCGATCGTCGACAGAGATAATTACATAGATTCTAAGTTGTCATCACAAGTGTGTTGATATTAACATGAACTTTATTTTGTATCCTATTCTAGATGCTATTGTTCTAGAATACAAAGTCTTTTCACAGTCTCACGTTGTCATTTTTCCAAGGGGTTTTTTGATGTATAAGGGGTTTGTTGTAAAATGAGACGGAGACAACGATGATAATGATGACGACAACATCAACAAGTAACTGCAGAACAAAAGAAAACCTTTAGGTTCGTGGAAAGAAAACGCCTGATGTATCCAAATGCATGTCGTTAAAGGAGAATAAAGTGTGGGCCCCTGTAGAATCGAGCGTTTGCTTCTGTGTCTGATGGTAAGGGGACATTGAACAAAGCACAAATAGATCTGCTGCCCTCATTGCAACATTTTATATTTTATATTTTATATTTTAATATTTAATATTTTATATTTTCTCTCTTACTTTCTAACAACCATATTGGTGTTAAATGTTCTCCCAAGTGAGGAAGCTAATGGGTTCTATTTCCATACCGAAGTCTTTATAAATAGTAGTTGTTTACGTTCAGCGTTTATGGTAAAGGCAACAACTGCTTTACCCGTGGTCAGTATTTTGTGACCGGGTGGACAACTGTACTGGGTGTCTTTAGCACGGTACATGTTTCAGTGGGTAGCATTGTAAAGACGGCAACAGACACACCAACATACCCTGCCTCTAGCACACTTACATTTATGCACACATACAGAACACACATGTAGACACGTCCTGAGATGACATGTAGACACGTCCTGAGATGACATGTAGACGTCCTGAGATGACATGTAGACACGTCATGAGATGACATTTAGACACGTCCTGAGATGACATGTAGACACGTCCTGAGATGACATGTAGACACGTCCTGAGATGACCTTAGCTGTCAATAGGACGTTAAACCTTATCCAACTAAACTACGACTCGTTTGCTTTTGAGCAATACAAAAAGCAAAACATAATAGGTCGGCTAGAAGAAATACGCGTTAAGTTCTCATTTAAAATAAACAAAACAAAAAACAAAAACGAAAAACTTTGAAACTTTAATGTTATTAAAACATGTTTGCAATGCAAATTTAAACTGATGGCTGCACATACAAATAAGCACACAAACTGTGGATATCTACATCTCCCACTCTTCACAGGTGTGTCTGCCGTTTTCGCCGGGGAATATCAGCTTGTCACCACCTAGGGGGAGATAATCTCGTGCAGAATGGCACGCTCTAAGGCATAACAAAAGTATGACGTTACATCAACAGTAGCAGACAATGGAAGATAACTCTAGTTTTTCTGGAAAAAACCCATGAAATCACCGCTTGTCGGCGGATTTATGAGTTAAACAATCATCCCTTACCTTGAGAGTGTGTCAAATGAATCACCAATTCTCGGGATGATATTCTCAAATGTCTCACCCTCGGCAAAACCTCGGGTAAGACAATCAAGAATGCCATCCCTTGGGTTGGAGATTTCTCTGTCACACCCTCAAGGAAGGGGTATATTCTATTATTGACCTTATTGATACTTCGCTCATTAAGTTACCAAAGGCCTGATAGGATCGAGTTTTTTTTCTACGTCATTTGTGAAACAGATATGATTTCACCAGTAAAGTATGCTTTGCCGTGGTTGCTGGTTGTACAAAATGTTATATTTTTGATTTTATGTTTCAGAAACAATTGCTACATATACATCAACCAGACATACAGTACACACGTACTCTCACATGCAGACAAAGGCAAGGGTTTCCAAATCATCATCATCATCATCACACACACGCAATGACTGTTATCATCATCATAACACTCTATGTACTACTTGGTGTATATTTTATTATCACTGGAGATGTATGTCTTGTTTTCACATGACGTACATATTTCGTTTTCACTGGAGATGTATGTCTTGTTTTCTCTGGAGATGTATGTCTTGTTTTCACTGGAGATGTATGTCTTGTTTACACACGACGTACATATTTCGTTTTCACTGGAGATGTATGTCTTGTTTTCATTGGAGATGTATGTCTTGTTTACACACGACGTACATATTTCGTTTTCCCTGGAGATGTATGTCTTGTTTTCACTGTAGATGTATGTCTTGTTTTCACTGGAGATGGATGTCTTGTTTTCACTGGAGATGTATGTCTTATTTTCACTGGAGATGTATGTCTTGTGTTCACTGGAGATGTATGTCTTGTTTTCTCTGGAGATGTATATCTTGTTTTCACTGGAGATGTATCTCTTGTTTTCACTGGAGATGTATGTCTTGTGTTCACTGGAGATGTATGTCTTGTTTTCATTGGAGATGTATGTCTTGTTTACACACGACGTACATATTTCGTTTTCCCTGGAGATGTATGTCTTGTTTTCACTGGAGATGTATGTCTTGTTTTTACTGGAGATGTATGTCTTGTTTTCACACGAGGTATATATCTTGTTTTCACTGGAGATGTATGTCTTATTTTCACTGGAGATGTATGTCTTGTTTTCATTGGAGATGTATGTCTTGTTTTTACTGGAGATGTATGTCTTGTTTTCACACGAGGTATATATCTTGTTTTCACTGGAGATGTATGTCCTGTGTTCACACGAGGTATATATCTTGTTTTCACTGGAGATGTATGTCTTGTTTTCACTGGAGATGAACGTCTTGTTTTCACTGGGGATGTATGTCTTGTTTTCACTGGAGATGTATGTCTCGTTTTCACATGAGGTATATATCTTGTTTTCACTGGAAATGTATGTCTTGTTTTCACTGGAGATGTATGTCTTGTTTTCGCTCGAAGTCTATGTTTTTAGTTCGGATTGAAAATGATTCCCTTGATCCTTGTGTAAACGATCGATGCTTAACGCTTATTTAATGATAATATTTATATACCACCAAAAGTTATTATAACATGCAATTCTATCCTTAATTATGTAAATGGTTTTCTCTACAGCTCATCAACGTGACTGGAAATTCCGTAATGATGGGTTTAGGCTCAGCCTGTGACACGCTATTCTCACAGGTAAATGTAATGTGTGCATTTCCAGACGTTTACCTGTGTGTCATGTCTTACATATATATTATACCAATATGCTAAGTTGTATACAAATAAATATGCAGGCACGTCTCGTTATCCAGCCACCACTTATCCAGTAATTCTACAATCCAGCCACCACTTATCCAGTTAGTCTACAATCCAACCACCACTTATCCAGATATTCTACAATCCAGCCACCACTTATCCAATTATTCTACAATCCAGCCACCCCTTATCCAGTTAGTCTACAATCCAACCACCAATTATCCAGTTAGTCTACAATCCAGCCATTACTTATCCAGTAATTCTACAATCCAGCCACAACTTATCCAGCTAGTCTACAATCCAGCCACCACTTATCCAATTATTCTACAATCCAGCCACCCCTTATCCAGTTATTCTACAATCCACCCACCACTTGTCTAGTTAGTATACAATCCAGCCACCACTTATCCAGTTGGTCTACAATCCAGCCACCACTTATCCAATTATTCTACAATCCAGCCACCACTTATCCAATTATTCTACAATCCAGCCACCCCTTATCCAGTTATTCTACAATCCACCCACCCCTTATCCAGTTATTCCACAATCCAACCACCACATATCCAGTTATTCTACAATCCATCCACGACTTATCCAGTTATTCTACAATCTAGCCGCCACTTATCCAGTTATTCTACAATCCACCCGCCACTTATCCAGTTATTCCACAATCCAGCCACCACATATCCAGTTAGTCTGCAATCCAGCCACCCCTTATCCAGTTATTCTACAATCCACCCGCCACTTATCCAGTTATTCCACAATCCAACCACCACATATCCATTTAGTCTACAATCCAGCCACCACTTGTCTAGTTAGTATCCAATCCAGCCACCACTTATCCAGTTGGTCTACAATCCAGCCACCACTTATCCAATTATTCTACAATCCAGCCACCCCTTATCCAGTTATTCTACAATCCACCCACCCCTTATCCAGTTATTCCACAATCCAACCGCCACGTACCCAGTTAGTCTACAATCCAGCCACCACTTATCCAGTAAGTCTACAATCCAGCCCCCACTTATCCAGTTAGTCTACAATCCAGTCACCACTCATCCAGTTATTCTACAATCCAGCAACCAGCTAAGTTGTATACAAATAAATATGCAGGCGCGTCTCGTTATCCAGCCACCACTTATCCAGTAATTCTACAATCCAGCCACCAGTTATCCAGTTAGTCTACAATCCAGCCACAACTTATCCAGTTATTCTACAATCCACCCACCCCTTATCCAGTTATTCCACAATCCAACCGCCACGTACCCAGTTAGTCTACAATCCAGCCACCACCAATCCAGTTATTCACAATCCAGCACCACCTATAATCCAGCCACCACTTATCCAGTTAGTCTACAATCCAGCCACCACTTCTCCAGTTATTCTACAATCCAGCCACGATTTATCCAGTTATTCTACAATCCAGCCACCACTTATCCAGTTAGTCTACAATCCAGCCACCACTTATCCAGTTATTCTACGAGCCACCACTTATCCAGTTAGTCTATAATCCAGCCACCACTTATCCAGTTATACTACAATCCAGCCACCACTTATCAAGTTAGTCTACAATCCAGTCACCACTTATCCAGTTATTCTACAATCCAGCAACCACTTATCCAGTTAGTCTACAATCCAGCCACAACTTATCCAGTTAGTCTACAATCCAGCCACCACTTCTCCAGTTATTCTACAATCCAGCCACCACTTATCCAGTTATTCTACGATCCAGCCACCACTTATCCAGTTAGTCTACAATCCAGTCACCACTTATCAAGTTATTCTACAATCCAGTCACCACATATCCAGTCATTCTACGAGCCACCACTTATCCAGTTAGTCTACAATCCAGCCACCACTTATCCAGTTATTCTACAATCTTGCCACTACTTATCCAGCTAGTCTATAATCCAGCCACCACTTATCCAGTTATACTACAATCCAGCCACCACTTATCAAGTTAGTCTACAATCCAGCCACCACTCATCCAGTTATTCTACAATCCAGCCACCACTTATCCAGTTAGTCTACAATCCAGCCACCACTTATTCAGTTATTCTACAATCCAGTCACCACTTATCAAGTTATTCTACAATCCAGTCACCACTTATCCAGTTATTCTACAATCCAGCAACCACTTATCCAGTTAGTCTACAATCCAGCCACCACCAATCCAGTTATTCACAATCCAGCACCACTTATCCAGTCAGTTTACAATCCAGCCACCACTTATCCAGTTAGTCTACAATCCAGCCACCACCAATCCAGTTATTCACAATCCAACCACCACATATCCAGTTAGTCTACAATCCAGCCACCACCAATCCAGTTATTCACAATCCAACCACCACATATCCAGTTATTCTACAATCCAACCACCACTTATCCAGTTATTCCACAATCCCCCCTCCACTTTACCAGTTATTCCACAATCCAACAACCACATATCCAGTTATTCTACAATCCACCCCCCACTTATCCAGTTATTCCACAATCCCCCCTCCACTTTACCAGTTATTCCACAATCCAACCTCCACATATCCAGTTAGTCTACAATCCAGTCACCACTCATCCAGTTATTCTACAATCCAACCTCCACTTATCCAGTAAGTCTACAATCCAGCCATCACTTATCCAGTTAGTCTACAACCCAGCCACCACCAACCCAGTTATTCACAATCCAGCACCACATATCCAGTCAGTTTATAATCCAGCCACCACTTATCCAGTCAGTCTACAATCCAGCCACCACTTCTCCAGTTATTCTACCATCCAGCCACGATTTATCCAGTTATTCTACAATCCAACCACCACTTACCCAGTAAGTCTACAATCCAGCCCCCACTTATCCAGTTAATCTACAATCCAGCCACCACTTCTCCAGTTATTCTACCATCCAGCCACGATTTATCCAGTTATTCTACAATCCAACCACCACTTAGCCAGTAAGTCTACAACCCAGCCACCACTTACCCAGTTAGTCTACAATCCAACCACCACCTATCCAGTTAGTCTACAATCCACCCACCACTTATCCAGTAAGTCTACAATCCAGCCACCACATATCCAGTTAGTCTACAATCCAACCACCACTTACCCAGTAAGTCTACAATCCAGCCACCACTTCTCCAGTTATTCTACCATCCAGCCACGATTTATCCAGTTATTCTACAATCTAGCAACCGCTTATTCAGTTATTCTACAATCGAGCCACCACTTATCAAGTTAGTCTACAATTATTCTACAATCCAGCCACCCCTTATCCAGTTATTCTACAATCCACCCCCCACTTATCCAGTTATTCTACAATCCAGCCGCCACTTATCCAGTTATTCCACAATCCCCCCTCCACTTTACCAGTTATTCCACAATCCAACCTCCACATATCCAGTTAGTCTACAATCCAGTCACCACTCATCCAGTTATTCTACAATCCACCCCCCACTTATCCAGTTATTCCACAATCCAACCACCACATATCCAGTTATTCTGCAATCCTAGAAATCTTGGTAATCCGGCTGTATTATAATCCAGACAATTGTGTTTTGATCGAACGAGACTCGATTATCTTCTGAAAATGATACAGATGAAATATCTACTGAAATGTAGGTGGATAGATTGTGTACTGAAAAGTGCAAGAGTTTTAATTGTCTACTGAAAACGAATGTTTGTAGAATATCCTAGGTTACTGGATTACTTATTGGGAACGAGGTTGGCAAGATTATTTTCTGGTTAACGAGGGGAGCTGGATTATCGAGGCTCTGTAATCACAACCAGTAAGATTTACATTATGCAATATTTAATTTTCGTAGATTGTTCATATAACCGATATGATAGGAGTGTGTTGGTTACAGCGTACACCATATTGTAAGTTTCTGTTAGGGTAAAACATTACAAGTGACAAACGCATTTATTGTACTTCTATATCATCTTACCTCACTAACGCTCAATTTTGTTAATTAAAACTAGTCTTTGTATTGATAATTAAAACCTGTCTAAAAGACCATCAAAGGGAGGAAGAAAAATGGTCCGTTACACAGAGGTGGTCTTACATTGTAATAGATGGATAGCCTATATAGATATGATGTCACTGTATGAAAAGTATCATTTGGGGTTTTCTTTGAATGATAGCTAAAAACAGGTGATATATAAAGCCATGTGGTATAAATAGACATGTTATCTTTTTAGACAGGTGGTATATATCGACATGTGGTCTTTATATGCAGGTGGTCTTTATATACAGGGGTATATAAAGACAGGTGGTATATATATATATATATATATATCCCCCCTGCCTATTATATACTTCCTGTCTATAAAGATACATGTCCACACATATATATATATATACCACCTGCCTAATATATACTCCCTGTCTATATAGATACATGTCTATATATATATATATATATATGTATACATGTATCTTTATAGACAGGGAGTATATAATAGACAGGGGGTATATATATATATATATATGTAGACATGTATCTTTATAGACAGGTGGTATATACTGATAGGTGGTCTTTATAGACAGGTGGTTTGAAGACAGCTTTTACTTTAACTACAATGGCTGTATGAGTGAGCGTATGTGACGGGTCACTAAAGTTCTACTCCAGATTTTTACCTTATCACTGTTTTTTTCAGACTTTTGGCAGCTCAAACAAGTTTCGGGTGGGAAATATTCTACAGAGAAGTATGTTTTAACTACTCTAATATTCTACAGAGAAGTAGGATTTAACTGCTCTAATATTCTACAGAGAAGTAGGTGTTAACTACTCTATTATTCTACAGAGAAGTAGGTGTTAACTACTCTAATATTCTACAGAGAAGTAGGATTTAACTGCTCTAATATTTTACAGAAAAGTAGGCTTCAACTGTTCTATTATTCTACAGAGAAGTAGGTTTTTTTAACTGATCTAATATTCTACAGAGAAGTAGATGTTAACTGATCTAATATTCTACAGAGAAGTAGGTGTTAACTACTCTATTATTCTACAGAGAAGTAGGTGTTAACTGATCTAATATTCTACAGAGAAGTAGGATTTAACTGCTCTAATATTCGAAAGAGACTGATTTAATACGTGTTTTTCATTAATTTATATCATTTTGAGATGTTTGCATATTGTTGTCGTGCATTTAGAAATTAAAGTAATTATATAAAAAAAAAAGAGATTGATTAGAACTCAATGTTGTAGTCTTTTGACAGACGCTAACATGCCATTCCGACAATATTTATTCGAAAAGTCATACAGGAATATAAAGCGGTCATTGGTCATTTCGCAAATTACGCTTTTGATTATTTCGATATTTATAAATATTTTAAGTGCCATTATAATCTATTGTAATTTGACGCCATTATTTCGTACTCGGCCCGTTATCAGGTTAATAAAGTTACGCTTATGCTAGCCATTGAAATGGAGACGTTTATGGATATAGTATGCAGAGATATATTCCGGGTTTTGTATTTCAGGTCTGATCATCATGTTACTGTGTAGTTTACCGTGCTGTGCTATTCTGATGAACACAGAGCATCTCCTTATCTTACTAGGACAAAACCCATTCGTTGCGAGGTAAAACACAAATACATTTTTTGTTGATGTCAAATTTTCCAAATATTTTGAAAAGTTTAGGTCCTTTGAAACACATAGATTTTGAGATTACCTCTTGAACATTGGCTATCAAGGAGACCTTACATATTTTCGTCTCATTTTGTTGCGAATCGAAAATTAAACTTAACAAAGAAACATTTGTTGTATTATCACACGAAGATCATTCATGTAAGGAAATATCTCATGTTCCCTTGAGGTTTCAGAAAATACCCAAAACAAATATAAAAGTAACTTGATTTAAAATCGAATATTTAAGTATTACTTGCTTACTAAATAATTACTCCAGCTTGCCTCCAGTTTTATTCCTTATGTTCCAAACCAATGTTTATATTAATAGTTCATTATCTGTATTGTTTGAAATGTACCTCCAGGGAGAGGGCTTAAATAGGCTTTGCTTGTTGTTCATTCCCTTTAAATCTGATTGATTTAATGTTAAATTTTGAAATGAAAAATAAATGAGTAACAGACGATTATATGAACCCGTATATCAAACATTTTAGGTTTTCAGATAGGCGCATAGTATCATAAAACAATTAATTTTGTTTTATATGTCATTCCGTTTCCTTTGAGAATTTGGATTCTCGAAATTTATAATACAAACGATGTACTTCCGTTTTAAACACATGTACGTTCACTGTTCCCCATCAATTCTTATTATGTAAGTACAAATTAGGGTAAATAATACTCACTTAACCGATTATTGATATGAAAATAAACAGTACTCATCTAATATTTGACATTCATATACTTCAGGGGTTTTGTGCATCTCCCGTTCTGCTATAGTAATGTATTACCAATATGAATTTCCACCTTTTTTCGACCCATGCATCACAGATAAATCCTACAGGAACGAAACATCTCTATTGTGCAGTATTATTTGTTTATGTTGGCATACTGTATCAATTACCACATTTCATAGGTGCGTGTAACTGTCTTATGTTCCTCTTAGAACGTCTTACATAAAATAGCAATAAAAGTTGAATAAATGTTTTTTTTTCAAACGACTGAATGATTTTTTTTAAATTTCAGACTAGGAGGGAAATATGCTATTGTGTATATAGCGGCATTACCGGTAAGTATTTAACATAACGTAATAGTAATACAGAACCAAAGCAATTTCATTAATAATGTAAACAAACAGTAAATAAATTGTATCGTCTTATAAAACCATTCTTTCTTGCACAATTTGATATTAAAGATGTGTGCCTATAAGGGTCATTTGAGCGAAGTAATTGTTTTCCCTATTTCTATATAACTTTTACAATTGTTTCTTTTTCAGCGTATTTATTGACTGCCAATTTATAGGACATTTTGTATATCCTTTTAGAGGTGCAGAAATGCCATAATCAGAATGTATCAGGAATAATGTCTACTAATTAGAATTTGAATAAAGCCGCAGTCAGGGGTAACAGCTAGGTTGTACAATTGTGTGATGATGCATCCAAGGAACACAGGGGGCGTACATGTGTTCAAATCGTTTGCCTCATTCCTACCAGGGTGTTAGGCAAAATAAGGGAAACAACAATCATGAAGCATGTTCAGTTGCTGTTTGTTAGGACCTGTTATATTACGTGCTGCTCGGAGTCAAAGGAACCATCCACAGACGCTTATCTAAAGATATCAAAAGAAACCAGATGGACTATTGAATGTATCTGTGCCACTTGATTTATATTGTAAGTTGCTCATTTTTTATCATTACAGGGTCAAATAATTGCTATCATTTTAGCGAAGTATCTTCAAGCACAGGTAGGTTCACGTAAACGCAGTTGTAATTTACATACTGTCAAATCTGCTTTAGGAACTTAAGCAACCCTCCCATTTAGAGACGTCAAATGTTTAATGAAACACAGAAGCAATGTAGGGAGCACACTATGTTGTTACATGATTTATCCCTCGTGGACTTTCGTTACTTTAACAACATTTGATTTTGTAGACGACGTTTTACGGCTTACATGTTAAGGTATATGAGAGTGTGTTTCTAATGTGTTACTTTCCATTGTCACTGTTGAAAAATAGGGTTTAGGCAAAAGACCAGTAAAAGAGGCTTTTATAATCGACAGAGGCAAAATGCTATATTTTTAAATCAGTGTCAGGTAGTTGATCATGTTATGAGAGCCGAATAGAATATATATATATCACCCAAACCTTGAAGTCGTTCCGGACTGTAATTACCATTATCTAATAAAACTAAAACGATCAAAAATAAAAACAAAGAATACCCGATGGGACAGCGCTATTGAGTAAATTGTGTGTTGCTAGGTTCTTATATATAACTCTTAACAGTGACAGGTTTTCTTCAGACCTATATCATCACTCTTTATTTTCATCTAACAAAGCTCTCACTGTTTTCATACCAGCTATTTCATGAAATCAAAACATATTTGTTGAGTGGCATAAAAATGGTAGATGACAGAACTATTTCGACATTTACAGAGCATTGTGATGACAGAACTATTTCGACATTTACAGAGCATTGTGATGACAGAACTATTTCGACATTTACAGA